ATTGATACTGGCAAATTTTGTTGACTTCTAAATCATTCAGTAAATGATAAGAATGTATTTTGTTTTCTGCTGACTGTAGCAAGCATTTTAAGGGTCTTCAGAGTTGATATATTCAAGACTGGTTCTCTAGTTAAGTCACCCAAATGACCACTTGGGGGAATACAAGGTGGAAGGTATCACAGTAAGTATTGGTAAGCTGCGGTGGCTCAAGTGGCTAAGACGCTGAACTGCAGGCTGTGGAAGGTCAGTAGTTCAGCAGTTCGAGACCCGGGTGCCGCATGACGGGGTGAGCTCCTGTCTCTAGTTCCAGCTCCTGCCAACCTAGCAGTTCGAAAGCAAGAAATTGCAAGTAGATAAATAGGTACCGCTTTGGTGGGAAGGTAACAGCGTTCCGTGCACCTTGGTGTTTAGTCATGCCGGCCACATGACCACGGATATGTCTTCGGACAGCGCTGGCTCTTCGGCTTGGAAACGGAGATGAGCACCGCAACCCTAGAGTCGGAAACGGAGATGAGCACCGCAACCCTAGAGTTGGATTCGACTGGCTTTCGAGCAAGGGAACCTTTACCTTTACCTTTATCACAGTATTATAGGGGCTTGGCCCAGCCATTAGTGGCCAAGGTGATATCAGTAGCCACTTGGTAGCCCAAGTCAGTGGCTACCCAGGAGGCAATCAGTGTACCTTGTATGGGGTCACAAAACACTTTGAACTGACCCTGAATAAATAGCTCCTTTGCATGGTCAATGTGCAATCCTTCAGATAAAGAATTCCTTGAATTAAATTAGTGATGCTTCACCGGTTGCTTTTTTTTGGCTAAGAGATTAACATTAGCCTCACCACAGGCAAGTAAAACAATGTGTGAACAGCCATGCAAATAAGTGTCTGTTCTCTGCATTGTGAACCTGAGTACATGTGACAACCTGTTATGAAGTTAAAGAGACCCTGTTTTTCCCCCATGTAGTGCAATCCCTACCACTTTGAATATCTGTTTACAAAAATAACTTGCGTAACATTCCTCTGTACACCGATGTATGGCGCTTCTTAAAGAGGCGTGTCTCAACAATTCTTATCTTGCTTTGCAGATAAGAGCTTGGGAGGAAACCATGGTTCCCACTCTTGCACAGTAAGGAGAGCCCTTTCTCATATTTGTCAACAACATTGTGATAATTAGTTTGTGCAGCAACCTACTTAATCATCTCAGCAGATTACCTGCTGTTCACAGCTTTCTGAGGATTCAGGACGCAATTCTTTGAGGGAGACTTCCGTAGATTTGAATTGTCTCCTGGAGTTTGGCTGATCTTGCTCATATCAACTAATTAGGGACTGTATGCATCACATTTTTAACAAAAACAATTAACTCCATGATATATATTCCTGTCACAGTCTAGTTAGCCATGTTGTATCTGAAGTACTGTGAGAAAAAGCTCAATGCTATGTTTCCACTAATGAGAATGCACAAGCTGAACAAAGATGGCTTCTGTACACAGCCGATAAAAATGTGATTCTATGAAGGGATAAATGGGATCTACCCTCTTTTTAAAATAGCACAAAGTCAATTCTTCCAAAATGGCAAGGAATTTCCCTCCCTTGTCATATGGGTTAATAGTAGAAAACAGAAGGGAAGAACCTTAAGGACATTGATTTTCCCCCCTTTCCCCAGACTTGGTTATATAGAAGAGGAGGAGGGATTTTGTGTATGTCCCATGATGCCTGAGGAAGAAGAGGATACTGCAATAATGGGAAGAAAATGATCTTGATAAATGTCAGTTCTACAGGAAGCTGATAGAAAGGCTAAAAGCCAAGAAGGGCTAAGTAACGGGGGTGGGGGAATCACAGAGATCTCTTACATGCAGGTGAAGAACAACTGCGAAAGGCCAACATTATCTTAGCAGTTCAGAAACTAGGAAGTCCCCATAGTCTCCTAACCAGACATTGGGCCATGTAAGAAGAAACCAGAGGTTTGTTACACAAATACAAGCAGGCTGTGGGACCAGTGGGGGGGGGGGCTGTGAAAATTGTTGCTTATTTTAAGAGATTCAGCATCTAGGAAGGGCCCAAGGTCTCTTGACCATATAATGGGTGTACAACAGAATCAGCATGCACCTTTATCAATTTATCAGTTTTCCTGGACAAAAGACATACTCTGCAGTTTCTGATACTCTATTTATTGGTTTAATTTAACACCCCACTTTTTGGTGTGACTTAGATCCACTCATACTGTAATCTGAGGTAAAGTTTAATCCATGGCTTCAATAGAAGGGTGTAATTGGGTTTAGGATTGCACTTTGAGTGAATGGCAAAAAAAATAGAATTGACTTATAATACAAACAAATAAATAGGGAAATAGTGTAAGAACTTTAATTGGGGTTTTTATTTATTTATTTATTTATTAAAACATTTATATCTCACCTTTCCTCATGGTTCAAGGAGACTTACAATAATAGTGGAAAAGATTCAGTTAAAACCACAACAGCAAACCTCAGCTCTCTCCCACCCACCCCCACCCCCATTAAAAGAAGCCTGCCTTCAAACAGCAGGCCCTGCAGTGCCTCCTGAAAATTTCCAAAGAAGGGGCCTCCTCACCTTTTCAGGGTGCCCCTTCCACAGAGCCAGAGCCAGAGCCATGATGGAAAAGGCCTGGACTCTGGTCAGTGCCAGACAGGCCACCCTAACTGGTAGGACAGCCAACAGAACAGTGAGTTTCTTATACCAATTTAATATCCCTTTTATATCTCTTGAAACCATATTGACACGTGTTTGTGACTGAACCTACAATTGCACAATAGATGTAAGTTTGAATTTCCTATGGAAAGAAAAATATCAACAGGTTCTCGGTAATCAATAAACATTGCAACACTGTTTACTTTTTAAATTAATCCATCATCGTAAACATAGCAAATTGCTTTAGGAGAGATGTCAGGTAATTAATAGCCTTCCTCTAGCGTTGTCTGAGACGGGCTTTCCATTTAAACTTATCCACACATCTAATCAGGAAGAGAGCATAGTTAATTAGTGCCATTTACGGTGCACAGAATGAAATGGATAGGCAAAGTAGCGTCTTCATAACTATTCTAAAATCGTCTGCTCTTTCATTTGTTAGATCTATTAGGCAATTACATTTCAAGAAGGTCTGAAAGTCACCTTGGTTAGATTATTTAAAATTACAGGTACTATCTCTGCTCCAGGTGTAACAAACAGGAGGGCTTCATATTTGGTGGGAGGATTGCAAAATAGGGTTGGGTTGGATTGGATCCTGCCATGCAGTTTCCACTGAGAGAAGGAAGTTCTATTAGCAGAGCAGGATATCTTATGATCTAGTGCTGGTCCTCTTTGGATGTGTGCAAAAAAAAAGGGAACATATTTATCCCTTTAGGAACTTGAGTATAGCAGCTGAGTTATTACTGGCACAAAACTGGGCACAAAATCATTGTCTACAGCAGGCAATTGACTGCCAAAATGATGTTTTAGTATGCTTATGGAGAAGCTTACAACATATCAACACCTGTGGCCAAGACAATTTATTCTCAAAACATATTTATTCAAAATGTGCAGCCATTTATTTAATAACTGAAAGAGATTAAATCTGAATGTGGACGACTAGAAATATTGCCATGTGCATAATAACTATTTATGATGATACTGTGTATTCGTGGTTCTAACAATTGAGAATACCTTTTTTCCCCTTTTTAATATATTACCACGTAACTTAACTTTAATGTTCTAAGCAGAAATAACAACTGCGGGAAGTAACAGAAATAAGATGGAAATCCTATCCTCCACCCCTTGCTGCCAAGCCCAGCGTGTTTCTAGACCTCTGCAGACATCTCCAGGCCCGGCCATGGCAGCTGCCGTGTCTGCGTGCAGACATTGCTGCCACCATGGCAGATCCTGGTCTCTGCCACTGCAGCCAGTCCCCGATTGGCTCCCAGACTCCTCTCCTAACTCTGTAGAACAAAAGTACTTTCAACGGACAATGCAGACAACACTCTTTTATTTTTATTTTTGGGGGGGGGGGTTTAAACCCCCAGGTATTTTTTTAATCTGTCAGATTTTCCTGCAAACAACCCAAGTTTGCAGAACTATCTCTTTTGGGTCAGTGTGGGTCCAATTCACAGATTTAGATATCTGCAGATTGGTTCACATCTGACTATTACAATATAACAGTTTAAGCATGACAACATTGCTATAGAGAGGCATAAACTATCTCTAATGGAACTTTCCTTGAATCAAAAATTTGAGTTTAGTTATGAAAGAAGGGAAGGAAGGGATATAGAAAGATTGAAAATGCAAGATGTTAAAATAAATATTCTATTAGAGAAATGACAGACACCTGGATATTTGTTTGCCAGGGGGAAGAAACACATTTTTAGTGAAAGTATTTTCCACATTATTCTTCCAATAGTTTCTGCACAGTAATCCTTTAATGCCTGGGGTAGTTTTCAGCAAACATGGAATGTTTCTAATTATTTGTGTGCTTACAAAGAACTGTATGTCACATTGGTTTGCATTTGTAAGTCAGATCTTCAAATTACCGACTTAAGTTTAGTTTAATCAGCACTGATACAGTTCTGCAAGGTAATATTCTTGAAGGCCTATTCATTATTAACAACGCCAAGTGGACTATCATATGAGAATATGAGAAAAAAAATATTTTCTGCTTTTATTTTCCAACATACCCAAACACATCCAGAAACTAGCATTAAGCCGCATTGTACAAAGTTTAACAAGTAGCTTTTTAAAAAAGGGTTTTCTGCCATTCAGCAAAGCAGAATAAGTGGCATGCTAAATCCGAGGTCAATGTCAAAACACATGCATTGAACAGATGACCAGCAACAGATTTTATACTACAGTCATTTTAACAGATGGATGGTAATTTGATTAGAAATCCAATAGACCTCATCAATTAAATGACAAAACAAGATGATCCTAATGCACTGCAGAGCCTGTGCACTTTCCCCCTCATAGTCAGCGTACCTTTTCAGAACAGATTTTTAAAAGCTTAGAAACACAAATAATATACCCAATAAAAAACATTTATGATGATAAACAATAATGGAAAAGAAATCCGGGCATAATTGTCTATGTGATAGGGGTTTTTAACATGGAAACAGTTAAATATAAAGAGAAGTCCTTTCATCATTGTTGGGGAACGACGTCTTCTGTGTTGAGTTTTCTCCTCTTTTCTGCCAAGGGGTCTTTTGGCCGACTTGTCTGGATCAGCCTTGCTAATCTTATCAGCCTTGCAACTGTTGGCTATTGCTGACAGGACTCCATTGATCTCCTCCTCAGCTTCTTCATCCTCTTCCTGGTAGGAAAGCACAGAGAGCCACCGTCACAAATTACAACACAGGCTTAGTTTAAGCACTGAGAAAATACTTCCTCGGGATGCCGGTTATGACAGGGGCACACCTTCGGCAGCAAGGGCGGGCCTCCAAGCTTTAGCCAACTTGATGTAAGACCTGCTTCGGATTCTCAGCGGGACCCACGCAAACGCAGATAGGGGGCACAGTCAAGAAGGGATCTGTGTGAAGGCACAGATTTCATGAACTAGTATCGTTATGTGAAAACGATACATAACATTTGCACAATCATAGCCTCTCATAAAAGCCATCTGCTTCTGACCTCTCTAATCTCTGGGACCAGGCAGACAGGACCCAGATGGGGAGAGAAAACTCTCTGATGAATAAAGCCATGCTTGTGAGTTTCTACAGGCATCTTTCTAGAAAAACAAACCACTATTAGCTAGTATTTATACACCACGTCTGAACGTTCCGCGCACTTCACAGATATGATCTTATACACCAGCCTTATAAAGTAGGGCAATATTCTAACCTCCAGTTTATTGACTGAGCAGAGGCTGAGAGAGAATATCTTACTCAAGGCTAGAGAGCGAGTTCATTTCACAGACAAGACTTGAATCAGGCACCAAGCCCGTAGCTATGGTGGGGGCTTTTGGGGGCTCCGCCCCCTTTCTTAAAGGCACAGCCCCACAGGAATTTCTCCTGTAAATGTTTTCAATAAGCAGAGTGGGGTGCTTTAGCTGACTAATGTCTGCACTGAGCAAGGGGGTTGGAGTAGATGAGCTCTAGAATCCCTTCTAACTCTGTGTCAAGAAACTGGTCTCCTTTAAGAGAGTTTTTCTGCCTAAGTGTTAGCCTTCTTGACTATAGAAGTCATCACCCCCACCTGCTGGCTTGTTATCTGAATTTCTGCTTAGGCTGGCAGAAGTGATTAACTTGCAGCAGCTGAGAACTGTCATCTAAAGTTGCTGGCAGCTTACATTTTAGAGATCTATCCTGGTAACAGCTTTCTACTGGTTAAATGGCTTTGCTTTCTGCGCTGAGAACTTCTGCCCCATGAGAAAAAAATTGTCCCACAAGCCACAAAATCCTGGCTACGGGCCTGCCAGGCACTTCCTGACTTCTCACCCATTGCCCTTATGCTATACCAGCTAACCCCCTGTTGGACCTGTTTATATTCCTAGAGAGACCACACTTCAAAAAAGAATCCCAGCTCAGATTTAGTCCTGATACTGCCTCCTGGCCTGTTCTCATAATTCCTGCCCATATATTGCTCAGTTTTAAAATGTTATTGCATCGGCCATTACAAGCTCAATCAATTTCCTGGAGCATTACAGAAGCTAACTGCTGGCACCCTTTCCCCTCTTCATTGCTTAAAATCCTGCTTGTGAGCTCATTCATTTGGAATGCAGTCTTATTTATTACTTGTAGGATGCTAGGATGAATTCAAGGGCCACTATGTGAAATTGAACATATCATGGCAATAAATGAGCCTTAATTCCACATAGCTGCACCATGCCAGTGATTTTTTTTAAAGTTGGGATATTGAAGTTTCATCGTGTGCAGAAAATCTCCTCCTTCTATAGTGGCTTCCCCACTCATAGCAATGAGTGTGCATGCCTTACCCTAGGCACACGAATCTACTCCCTGTATGCTCAGCTATTTTCAGTGGGTTTAGACTGCACTGTAAGAACATCTATGCTCAGTTCACTGATTTTGCACTCCACTCATGAATGTTCTTGCAGTAGAAGGGAAAAGCCAGAACAGTTTCACTTGTGATCTTCTGTTATGGCACAGTTCTTGGATCTGGCATTTCAGGAGGGAATAAAATAGAGGAAAGCCTAGAGATGAAACCACCGTTCCAACCAGGAAAATGTGCCGATGATCATCCTAACAAATTCTAAAAAATAAAGAGTTTTATCTGGGTGTTTGTGTGGATGTGCCGTTAACATGCCCTTTTTAAAAAGGTGAAAACAGTAACATTTCTAGCACGCTGCAGGTTTATTGCACTGCAGACAAGAATATAATACACATATTATTTTCCTTCAGAAGGTTTCAGCAAGTCGTTTGCAGGTGGCTGATGCTTCATTAGGATGTTTTTAGCTCTTTTTACGTTCCCTAAGAGGGAGCTAAAGCCGTGTGTGAAAAATGCAGTGTCTGGCATTGTACATCGCAGCTCCTCGTTTGTATGATATTATCTACTCTTCTCCAAGGGAGCTTAACAAGATGTGTTTTTTTAGCACAAGCTTACTTATCGTATTGCCCTTGCGAAAAGAAGAAAGAGAGTCTATAAGAGAACTATAAACACCTATCTGCTTTACAAATCTGAGTACCAGGGGAAATCTGAAAGGGCTGCCAAGGGGCTGAGAGGGAAGGAAAAACGTTTGAAGTGTTTTACATTATGAAAGTCAACCTTGCACTTCAAGACGGATCTCCACGCTGAGTGTATTTTAAAAAGCAATGTTTTACTCATCTTTCAGACCCTTCTTTTAAGGAATGAATAGCAAGCAGGTGGTAATAATGAATTGATATTTTTAAAAAATCATTTGCAGCATCTACAGAAAGCAACTGCATGACAGCTGAAACCTACTGGAAATAGAATCCACTGCTGCTTGTGGTTCCTATTAATGGGTGCATTTGTTCAAGAGGGAGAAACGATGTTGCCTGTCCAGAAAACCACCACTGCTCGGTATTTTCAGGATTTCCTATGCAGTGAGTGTCAAGATATTTAAACAGTCTAGCAATTCTTACTCCAACTCTAGTTAAAAACATGTTTAAGTCACTATGATATGTAACAGCGGCAATGAACTTCACTTGTTATGTAATGCTTTCCATGCTTCACATCAATAGCACACTTTTCCCTGTTCTCTGTTTCTGTCCTATTATTAAGGATCTGGAAGGGGTCAGGAAGGGATTTTCCTCCAGGCCAGGTTGGCCTAGGGATCCTGGAGGTTTTTATGCCTTCTTTGGGAAGGCAGGTAGCTGTTAATTTCCTGCAGAGGAGTTGGAATGGATGACTCTTGGGGTCCCTTCCAGCTCTATGTTTCTATGACACTGGCTGATTCTAGGGGTTACAATGCAATCCTAGACCCTTCTAAGTCCCCTGAAGTCAATGGGCTTTGCATTTGTCCACCGTGTGTCCTTGTGTACAGGGCACATGCCATCCCTCCAAGTAGCATGAGATTTCAAGATGTTGCTGTGACCAAAATCCACAAGGTACTGCACCACACAGCGTGGTTTCTTGCACATCATGATAATTGGCAGATGCTTTGGAAAAGCTCACACAAATGGGGGAGGGGAGTAGCAGGGTTGTGGTAACAAGTTAGTCAACGATGGAATCAGGCTATCTACATGGCACAGAAAGTAATGGAGAGAAGGGTTGTGGAAAAGGTGGAGGCAACTGGCACATGGGAAAATTTGAAGTATCACAGGTACCTTGGTGAGTTTCTTCACACCAGATCGATTAAAGGTACAGAAGTGAGCCACAGCATACTCCAGTAATGCCCCAAAGATGAAGGTAAAACAAATGCCCAAATACACATCAATTGCCTTGATGAAGCAGTTAGCATTCGGAAGGGATGTCCGAGCTCCCATCATAAGGGTTGTCATAGTGAGTACCGTTGTAACACCTATGAAAAATGAGAAATCAGTAGTGATCTTGCAGGGCTGTTAGCCATCACACAGACTGCTTCTTTTGGATAGCAGCTGATCATGATTTCAAGGACTATGTAACTGTTGTTCACTAATTTTCCCCAAGATCCAACCAGAATAAAGTATACTTTCGCTAAAAATCTAGAGGAGACTGTTCTCGTCCACAGCTGAAAACATGAAAAGGAACCAGAATGTACCATGCTAGACTTTGCACATGCGAAGCATCTATTCTCCAGGGCCTCTCAGCAGCTCTTTGTGCAAAGTTAGCACCATCTAGGAGGATATTGCACTGGTATGCTAATATTGTACAGGCAGCCACTTTACACATGAAACAGCCCAGGTTAAATTAGATATTGCATGTGTATGTTCTTTCCAGCTATGCAAAGGCATACGTATGTATTCTTTTGGACTATCAGTATCACATTTTGAGCAGGCCCTGCTCTGAGGAATAATCTATTTCATCATTGTGAATTTGCACGAAAACCCCCCAGACATATTCTGAAATGCAAAGAGCAAATATTTTTAACCACTCCTATTCCAGTCATTGTTTCACTTTCACTGCAGTTGTGCCAGGGGTCTTGTTGTAGAAAAACGAAAACCCCCCAGACATATTCTGAAATGCAAAGAGCAAATATTTTTAACCACTCCTATTCCAGTCATTGTTTCACTTTCACTGCAGTTGTGCCATTTTAATAAGGCAGCAAATATACAGATTTTTATATGCATGCCCTTCAACAGTGTGTGTGTCTTCTGAAGTGTGTTTGTCTGCACAGGCTTCTGTAACACTTTCTACTTCTGGCCCTTCACACAGTGATAGAAATATAGAAACTGAAGATGGGTGAACTTATATTATCAGGATCCTGAAACAGTTCAGACACTAATTTTTTTAGCCACCCAATTAGGGTTGCCAGGTCCCCCACCCGGGTCGCCACCAGGGGATGAAGGCATAGGGTTGCAAGATCCAGGTAGGGAAACTCCTAGAGATTTGAGGATGGAACCTGGAGAGGACAGGGACCTCAGTGGGGTATAATGCCATAGAGTTCACCCTCCAATGGATCCATTTTCTCCAGGAGAACTGATCTCTGCAGTCTAAAGATAAGCTGCAATTCTGGGGGATCCCCAGGTCTTACCTGGAAACTGGCATCCCTACCACACATCCAAACCACATTCAAGCTTACACCAAGTGCCCCTGTTTGCTTGCCACCTCAGGTGCTCCGGGGCCGCCTCCTGGTTTGAGCTTTCCCTTTAAACTCTCTGATCAGACACAATGTGGACCTGATCTTTTCAGTGGTAGCACCCATTCTTTCTGCTTTCTATATATAAGAAATGCAATGCCATTCTCTTCAGGTGGGCAATCGGCAGCTGAGAATTCTTAACTGGAGGGAAAGTGTGTAGGTGTTTGAAGAGACTCGCCAAGCCAAATGTGAACAATGAGGTTGTGTGTGTGTGGAACATTTCCTAATTGTTATGCGTCCTATGCACTCTCCACTCCACACAGTCTTCTGCTTATCTGAAACAGTACTCACACTGCTTTGTTCAAACCACAGCAGGGAAATCATTCATTCTAAGGAGGTTTCCTTCATATGGTTAGAATTGGTCTATACACAATGAGTGCTGTTTCAACATATATAGCTGAGTTTGGTTCTCTGGTGGCAACTATACCACAAGGATAGCATATGAATTGGGCTTGGTGAGGCTGTCACTCAAAAAGTTGGCTGGTTTTTGCTATTCTGAGCTTTTCCTTCTGCAGTGTGTTTGTATGAGACTGGGCCACAGGTCAAAGCCTGGCTGTGTGTAACAGATGCTCACCTGAGCATCTCCTTTCCACATCTTTTTTTAAAAAATATTTATAAATTATAACAACATATCATAGCATAGAGTACTGAGCATGCATTAATAGTAATAAAACAGGGCAAATGATTATACAAGCAGCAGTAACAACAGAGCAAGAAGGCTTTTTTATAACTGGAGAAAGAGAAGATTTACAGTTTGAGAGTTAACCCTCTTCTCTCCCAATAAACAGCAGAATATTTAAGAAGTCTAGTCAGCAGTGAAGCCGTAGCATGACTCCCTTCCTTGGGAAATAAATTATTCCTACTCCTTTGACCTGTGTGTGGCACTCACCCTCTCCCCTTTCTCAGAGGGCAGGAAAAGGCAAGTCACTCTGGCCTTTCCAGGGGTGGGAAGGAGACCTATGGGATTCTAAATGGTCAGAGATGTCCCAGAAACAGAAACTTGTTAGCTTTATACATACACTAGGAAAAAGGCTTGTTGTGGAAATAAATACAACGGCCTCTAGAAAGAGGCTCTGGGTGGGTGCCCTGGCCTTGGACACTCAGTGTCAATTTGCTGTGGAGACCTCAGCAGGGTATAATGACACTGAGTCCACCATTTTCTCCAGAGGAACTGATCTCTGCTACCTAAAGAACAGTTGTAATTTTGAGTGATCTCCAGCCCTCACCTGGAGATTGGCAACAATGGTTCCCCAGAAGGGAATAGTTGGTTTGGAGGGTGGAGTCTATGGCTTTGTACCTGTCCAAGGTCCCACACCTCCTGAAACCTCACCCTCTCCAGGCTCCGTCCCTCACATCTCCAGGAATTTCCCACCTGGAGTTGGCAACCCTATCTTCTTCCCAGCCAATCATCAACCTACCTTTATTTCCCCCTCACTCTTCAGCTTTCCACCCCCCACACACCTGCAGCCTCTCCCGTGCTCTGAAGCCCTGACTGCTACGTCACATTGGCTGTCATATGGGGGCCACCTCAGTAGCATATAAGGATACAGAGCCCACCATTTTCTCTAGGGGAACTGATCTCTGCCATCTGGAAAGCAGTTGTAATTCTGAGTGATCTCCAGCCCTCACCTGGAGATTGGACACATTTTACTTCAGGACAGCAAAACTGTTTAGAATGTTAGAGGCAAAAGCCAATCAAGTCGCATATGCAAACGACCTCTGTGTTCCGAGGCAGAGGCCAATGAGGCTGCATATGCAAATAACCTCTGTGTTCTGACTGGCTATGGGGGGGGGGAGAGAGGATTAGCAAAATGTTTAGAATATTGGAGGCAGGACTCAGGCAAAGCAGCCAGTGGATAGGGAGACCCTCTGAATGACAGGTCAGAGAGCGAACTGATTTTGGAGCGTTTGGAATGTTCTAGAGAAGTGCCACCACCATTTGGCTTTTATTTATAAGGGAGATATTTTCCATTGGGTAGGTCTCCCAGGCCAGTTTGACAAAGAATGAACTTTTCCTGCTGTCCTCATGACCACCGTAGACTCTCAGTAGTGAACAAATAATCTGTATGTAAAAGGTTCCAGACTCAACCTCTTGGTTCTCTAATTAAGCCACCTTGAGTAGTAGGCCTATGCAATACATCTGCTGAAGACCCTGGAGAGTCAGTGCAATTCACAGCTGAACTCAATGACTCCATCTGTCTCCTTATTTTACGTTAGTATTTTAGGGAGGTTGGTTTCACTGCTAACTAACCAGCCTTTAGTTACTGAACTTTGTTTATTATTAATGAGTAAGACTTGGGAATTTATATATGCTGTTCCTCTTGGCCCACAGCTGAATCATTCTGTTTCAAGTAGTGCATTCCTATGTTGAGTCAATTTCTAGAATTCTTTGCTGCTTCCAAGACTCTTTCTGGCTCCCCAGGACAGTTTTCTGTTAAATAATATATAAACCAAGAGCCCAAATGGATTCTACATAAAGGTGGCAAATGGGAAAGTTAGAATATAACACTGACGTCTTTGTGTTTTTCCCCTCAAGGCTACTATGACGCCCCCATCCTCTTCCCTCCCTTAGAAGCACAATTTTCCCTCTGTTTTTCTTTCCCCTTTGTGACTGAGCCACCCTACTTGTCTATTTATTTATTTCCTGGTTGTCCTACCCTGTCACAATATAATATTTGGGCTGTTTGCTCAGTCCAGGAACCTGAGGGAAGGAATGGGAGCCCCCTTTAACTTATACGACTTAAAAAGCACTCAAAAAGTTTTTATATTCCAAATAAACAAAATATTTTATTTAACATAGAGGGGAAAGGTCAGGTGAAATCAGGGGTAACATTTCTGAGGTAAAATCAGGACATGCACATACTTTAGTTCTTATGTTTCAGGCTAATGAGAGATTCTTAAGCTATTCACAGTTACTTAAATCTTTACGTTGAGAGGCTTTTGCTCCTGTGTTTCCCAAACACTCCAGTACACTTTCTTTGAGCATTCACGGACTCTTTTGGTTTCCAGAAGGCTGGTATACTCTTTCCAGTAACCATACCCCTTTTCGTGAAACAACAGTATTGTCTTGAGTTTTTAACTGGTTCTTAAGGTTTCTACAGGCAATTTCTAGCTACACCAGACTAGGGATCTCTGCATTCTTCAGAGTTAACTCCCTGTTTGACTGGATAGGGAATTTTCTTCCCTCTCTAGAAGATCTATCCCCTTTCCTTGGCTTGAATGGGGGTTTCTGTCTAACTACCCACTAATCCTTGCCAACTTTCCCCAGTTCTCCTGTCTGTATTTAAATGCTCTCGGCCAAAGTTGAGATCCAAAACTGTCAGTACTTCACTCTTCTCAGCTAGGGCTGAAATCAGACTGAATTCTCCTCAGCTTCCAGTTCAGAAGTCTTTCTCTGCTCAGCTGATGCTAACCAATCAGATCTCTTGGAACAACCTGTCACTCAAGGCTCTCTGGTTCCATGAAGAATTAGCCCTTCACATCCTTCACCTGTTTGTACATCTCTTCTAAGCTTTTAAAACTGCAGTCCATCACAGCTACCTTTACTTGTGACAAATAAGTGGGTTCTAGATCAAATCAAGCCTGAACTCTCCCTAGAAGCTAAAATTACTAAACTGAGGCTAGCATACTTTGGTCACATTGTGAGAAGACGAGGGTCACTGCTAGGAAACGTTGAAGGCAGCATGAATAAAGGAAGACCCAATATGAGATGGATTGACTCTATAAAGGAACCCAAGGCCTTCAGTTTGCAAGACCTGACCAAGGCTGTTAACGATAGGATGCTTTGAAGAACACTGATTCACTGGGTCACTGTAAGTCAGAAGTGACTTGAAGGCATTTAACACACACCTTTATACATTCAATTTAAACAGGGTAAATAAAAATGTGTAATCCCTGCTTGTGCTGGGCTCACATACATACCTGGCTCCTCCCTCTTTCCCCCTGCCTTTTCATGCAAAGCATAGTTCAAGAGTGATCATTTAAGACTTACTCAAGTTATTCATCACATATTAGTGCACTACTAATCTTTGTTCCACTAACTGGGCAACCTAAACCAGGATTAAACCCTTCACAGGTAAACAGAGACGGTCTTAAGCCACCTTTCCTTCATTGTGCTCTGTGTAAGAAGACAAGAGGAAGGAGGAAGGGCTAAATGCAGGGGAGCAGGTCTCAGGCTGGATTTGTGCACATTTTTAAATCTAAATATGGTTAAACTGGATGCCTGAATTAAGCCAAATATTGTGCAGTGTGGGAACAAATTTGTAGCCTTTAAGTTTTCTGTAGCCCCTCCTCACTCTTTTCCTATCGTATAGGAATCACAGCAACATAGATCCTTCACATACTCCTCAGAAAATACAAAAAAGCCCTAGGCTATGCAGAAGGAGCACATACTGAGTGAGTCTCCCTGCAGGTTCTGGGAGAGACAAGTTGACATTGGGAGGAATTACAATGTAGGTTTCTCCCACAAGGCCCAAGTCTTCTCATCTTACTCTACTAGTATGGAAAGGGCAGTGTAGCTGCAGTTCCCATGCTGCCGATATAATGTAAGACCATGCACTTTGTGCGTTCATAGATGGGTATGTGCTTTTGTTTCTCACCTATGCAGATTCTGGCTGGAACTGATGATTGGCTTATCCAGAATGACACCCAGGAGAGGACAACCAGTAAGCTGGATGGCACGTAAGTCTCAAGGATGAAATACAGAATGTTCCTCTTGAGTTCAAAATGGAAGACTAATTTTGGATAGTGCCCTGTTAGAAACAGCAAAATGCAACAAGCAATTTAGTGGACAGTGTTTTGATAGTGCAGCCTGTTTTACTCCTGAAAAGTTTTTAAAACAAGGCTTTAGATAATTAAGAAAACTTTAGATTTTAAAAAAACCCACAAAATTATGAAAATCGGTTCTCCAGCATCATGCCTATTTATAACTTTCAACCACACGGGTTTGGGATTCAGTGCTGGATACAATTTTGTGAACAGTATGGCACAGCAGATACCGTATTAAGGTTGAACATGGTTTTCCAGTAAAAAAATAAATCCATTAGGTGTTTACAAAGAACAACACTGAACTATCATTAAATATCTAAAGTAAGTCACAGAAACACAGCAGTATAAAAATCAGTAATAACACCAGAGCAGCAGCAGCAGGAGGAGATTGGATTTATACCCTGCCCTTCACTCAGAGTCTCAGAGAGGCTTACAAACCCCTTTCCCTTCCTCTCCCCACAACAGACACCCTGTGAGGTAGGTGGGGCTGAGAGAGCTTTGACAGAAACTGCTCTTTTCAAGAACACCTCTGACAGAACTATGGCTTGCCCAAGGTCATCCAACAGCTGTGAGTGGGGAATCAAAACCAGTTCTCCCAGATTACACTCAACCACTACACAAAAACATCACAGAACTAAACTTAAAACCATAACAGATGCCCAGTCCTTCACATCACAACCCCTGGATGTTTCATCCAATTCAGGCCTTCTCCAATGACCCCGATCCTGAAGAGTGTGTATAGAAATGCCTTGAGCTGTTTATTTTTTAAATTACAATGACCTTCCCAAGGATGGCTGAAAGAATCAGGGTTTTTAAAAAATAAAATATGTTTTAAAAAGGCTCTGAATCTGCACATTTTTTCATGTGCTATACTGGGCTGTAGCCAATGTGGAAAAAGAGGAGCTATGGGGTGCTTTCCTAGTGTCCTCTGTACATTAAATAGGCATTGGCACAAGCGATTCTTCACTGTTGACTTGGCTTACTTGCCAGCCATTATTTGTGGTCACTACTAGCTTCCCTTGCTTTGCTCTAGTCTCTCCACATATACAGAAGGTTTGGCAGAAAGGTGGTGTCTCATCTTCAGTTGCCATAAACCAGTAAACCCCTTCAAGATTCCTGGTTGTAACTCTTAGACAAAGTGGACCAGTATGCCTCGCTTGTTACTCATCTTGGTCCTTAAAAAGGCATCACCTAAAGCACGTTTGGAGGCTTAACATGAAGAACGTTTTAGGAGTGCTTTTATATCGTGGGTGGTGGACATTTTATTGTGTCTGTAGTCAGCCCCATGTTTACCTGCTTGTGATTTGTACCCTATTTCTGGGTCTGTTGTCAGCCACATATTAAGTATTCAGAACGACCCTCTTCCTTGCTGTTCATGGTGAACTGTACTTGGAAGGAGAACTGTTTATCCTCATAAGGAAGCTATTTTGGTTCAGTCTCACCAGGCCTTAATTTACACCAACATTCTATTCTCAGCTGTATTCTGAACAGTGTGAGTTTCAATCTGTGGTCTCTGAGGGGAGATTTTGAGAACACAATAACCAGCAGCACCAGACTGCAGAAGGGAAACCACAACAAATGAACCAGAATCCCCGAAGGACAAAATAAGAAACTGACATCAGACCACTCACTCTAGCTACTGTCTAATTTCAAATATGTAACCACAGACTAGTTATTCCATTGCCACGGGAATGCACTCTGTGTGTACTTCAAAATACTCTGTTTTTAATCCATATGTTCCAGGGTTGAAATGTAACATCAAAAACAGGCTCCAGGGTCAAGATATTTCAACTCTGGCTCATATGTAAACTGGTGCGAGGGCATAGAGGGCAGACCAACAGTAGGGAATTGGCAATTGGCCATGAGACATTTGCAAGCTACTTCCCAGATAAGATCATAACGATCTGCCAGGATCTCTTGACCACAACTGAGACAGTAAAGGAACTGGAAGCCCCTTGTCCGTCTTCGGGACCAATACTGGACCACTTTGACCAGCTCTCCCAGGAGGAAGTTGACAGGATCTTTGCAGTGGTGAGGTCTAGTATCTGCCTCCTTGTCCCATGCCCTTCTCGGCTTGTGAAAGCCTACAGGGAGGGCATTTGGGTCCCTTTGGGGGAAATTATCAACTTGTCCTTTTCTACTGGGACTTTCCCAAAGTCCTTGAAGGAGGTGGTAGTTCACCCACTCTTGAAAAAGCCATCATTGGAGCCTACGGTCCTGGACAGCTACCGCCCAGTATCAAACTTGCAGTTCCTGGGTAAGGTGGTTGAAAGAGCGGTGGCCAAACAACTCCAGGTTTTCCTGGAGGACGCTTCAATCCTTGATCCTTTCCAGTCCGGCTTCTGCCCCGGCCATGGGATGGAGACAGCTATAGATGACCTCCGCAGGCAGCTGGATCAGGGTCAGTTGGCACCACTGTTGCTATTAGATCTAACAGCAGCGTTCAACATGATCGACGATGATCTGTCGACCCACCACCTCGCCGATGTGGGAGTTCAGGGGACTATCATAAAATGGCTCTCCTCCTTTCTCCATGGTCGGGGACAGAGGATGGCGCTTGGTGAGGGTCTCCCCACAGTACCAGCTTGAATGTGGAGTGCCGCAAGGGGCAATCCTCTCGGCAATGTTATTCAACATCTATATGCGCCTGTGCCGCCCCAGCCAGTGTTTAAACTGTAGTTAAGTAGAACTGCCATATATATCTTTAAGAGCAGTGGCTCCTGGGAATTGAAGTCTTTAGACATCCCACAGCATCCGGCACTCAGAAAGGTGCGAGGATTAGAGTTACAGCTCTCTTCCGTGGCCTTTGATATCTTCAAATGGCAAGGAGTGGGGACATGCATCCTTTTCACCATGAGCCAGAGAACTGAGTTAGATTTCACCAGTTATGCAGCTACAATGTAAGTAGAACACTTCTGAATGCATGTGGAACTTAATAAAATGATTTAATTCTACTTGACCCTGGCTTGTGTGTTGAATCACGTCCAGAAGGCGTTTGTTGACACAGCGTCAGACGGAACAGCGCCCCCTCACCCAGTTAGTCAGGAGTTATGGTCTGGGTTGCCATCAATATACTGATGTCAGCCAGCTCTATCTGTTAATGGACAGCCATCCATCCTGGCCGAGGCTTTCGATGCTGTGGCTGGATGGTTATGGTAAAGCCAGCTAAAGTTAAATCCATCGAAGACGGAGGTCCGATACCTGGGTCGAGGGGGAGTGGATACGGGTAACAGACTCCCCATGCTGGAAGGGGCGCCTTCGGTGCCAGCCCAGAAAGTGAGGAGCCTGGGAATAACACTGGATACCACCCTTTCCATGGAGGCCCAGGTTACTGCAGTCACCAGATATGCATTTTTCCATCTTAGGCAGATTAAGTTACTGAAACCCTACCTCTGCCCCCAGGACTTAGCTACAGGGACCCATGCAATGCTCCCTTCCAGGCTTGATTACTGCAATTCACTCTACATAGGCTTCCCCTTGAGGCTGATCCTGAAATTATAGCTGGTGCAAAATGCAGCGGCACGCCTGCTGACGTCGACGCCTATGCAGGCTCATGTTCGGCAGGTACTCCACCAACTGCATTGGTTGCTGGTTGACTTCTGGATTCGCTTCAAGGTGTTGGTAATAACCTTTAAAGCCTTACATGGCCTGGGACCAACATATCTAAGAGACGTCTTTTCCTGTCTTTTCCCAAAGAGCATTATGCTCTGTGTGTCAGTTAACACTGCCATTTCTCTGGAATGTGTGAGGGGTGATCCTCCTCTCCTCAGCCTGGTATACTAATGATTTCTCCTGTCTGGGTTGTTATCTGTTTATGCTTTTCTGTCCTTGGGGTTCCAGCTGCACCTGACCTGCTGGGAACAAACGGCTCCTATTTTGCCTGCTCACTTTTCTCCCGCATGCACGCACAAGGCACAATGCTTATTGGCTTTTGCTTGTAATGGGGGGTGTTTTGAAACTACTATAACTTTGGGTGCCCTGCTGCTTCGAGCCATTCCTGACAAAAAACGTTCACGTGTCATAGTTAGGTAAAGGTAAAGGTTCCCTTGCTCGAAAGCCAGTCGAATCCGACTCTAGGGTTGCGGTGCTCATCTCCGTTTCCAAGCCGAAGAGCCAGCGCTGTCCGAAGACGTTTCCGTGGTCATGTGGCCGGCATGACAACACCAAGGCGCACGGAATGCTGTTACCTTCCCACTGTAGTGGTACCTATTTATCTACTTGCAATTTCTTGCTTTCTAACTACCAATAAACAGACTACTTCTTATGAAGCCCTGTGTGGTGTGATCTATTGAACCCTGACACTGTGGACCAGCATATCCTGGTTGTCCCTGGCCTGAAGGCTGTCCGCCTTGCCTCAACCAGGGCCAGGGCCTTTCCTGCCCTGGCCCCTGCCTGGTCAAACATGCTCCCAGTCAAGATTAGGGCCCTGCGGGATCTTCTTCAATTCCGCAGGGCCTGCAAGACAGAGCTGTTCCACCAGGCCTTTGGCTGAGGCAGCGGGCATCCGTGTATGGCCTCTCTGAGGTTGTTGTCACACACCTACTAAGCCAAATAATACGCTAGGCAACCTGTCATCCACCTACCGAGCCAAATAATATGCTAGGCAACCTCTCAGAGCCAGCTGATTCTATCGGTCTGCGGTTATTGTTTTTAATATTTATTATTGTGTTTAAAAATTTTAACTATTTATTGTATTACCAATATGATATAACCTGCCCTGACCCCGCTTGCGGGATGGGCAGGCTATAAATACTGATAATGATGATGATGATGTTTGTCCCATACACTGTGCAAATGTTGCTGTCTTGGGAATTATTATGCCCACAGACAGACACAGCTTTCTAAAAAAATACTGTGGAGTAGTTTCTAAAAAGCCAACTGGATTGTTGCACAGGACAGAAGTTGAACTTGTATGCCTTGTATTTGAAAACGTATGTTGTGTGCTAAGGGCAACATGAAAACACGGAAGACTAAAAAAATTAAA